AATAAATAAATAAAATCTTAAAAAAAAAAAAGGATATAGATAAATATCTTGTTTTGTTTTTATAATGAAAACCAAATTCACGAAACTAAGAGATGAAGCAGGAGCAGCAATAGAGTTTAGGGTAATGATCCCCCAAACATTAGCATGCATTACAATCACCTGGAGTGCTGGTTAAAATACAGTTTCTAGATTCCACCTCGAGTTTGATTGGACAGGACAGGAGTGGGGTTCTCAAATTAGCATTTCTAAAAGATTCAGGTGAACCTCATGCTCCTGGTCTGGGGACCACCCTTTGCAATCTACTGCATTAGGATAATGGAGAATAGTAGGTTGAAGTGAAGAGTCAGAGAGAAGGGTCCAAGTAAAGAAGGTCAGAGAATTGTCTTGTAGGCATCTGAATGTGCAGAAATGAAAAGGGAAACACAGGAAGATTGTTGATTAAGTATGTTAGTACTACTTATAGGTCAGTATGTCCTGAGCAGACTCAACATCTTCAGTGATGTGAGGATAACAGAACCACTTAGTTTGTAAAGTAAGGAAATCTCTAGAGAGATCAACTTTTGCCTGGAATTGAAGGAGAAAAGTAAAAAAAGAAAAAAAGTAATTCCAAAATTGGGATTATAAATGAAATTATACAGAAATAAGAATTTGCAAATAAAATCATGCAAGTAGAGTCAGCAACTTTTTTTTTTTAAGATTTTATTTATTCACTTGAGAGAGCACAAGCACAGGCGAGAGGCAGAGGGAGAAGCAGACTCCCTGCTGAGCAGGGACACCCCTCCCTCCCCCGACTCGGCTCAATCCCAGGACCTGGAGATCATGACCTGAGCCAAAGGCAGATGCTTAACCATCTGAGCCACCCAGGTGCCCCAGAGTCAGCAAATTTATTTAAGCACAGAAAAAAAAGTCAAAATAGTAGAAATGGGCAAATGCAATTCCAATTTTTGAATTCATGACAGTATTTTTAAATCTATTATTTATTGTTATAATTTACATACACTAAAATGCATGACTCTTAATTGTACAGCTTGACAAGTTCCGACAAATGGATACATCCATGTTATCACTACCCAAATCAAGATATGGTGTGTTACTCAAATAATGCAATATATGTTAAGAAAAAAAAAAAGGAAGAAGATAGCAGGAGGGGAAGAATGAAGGGGGGGAAATCGGAGGGGTAGACAAACCATGAGAGACGATGGACTCTGAAAAACAAACTGAGGGTTCTAGAGGGGAGGGGGGTGGGAGGATGGGTTAGCCTGGTGATGGGTATTGAGGAGGGCACATTCTGCATGGAGCACTGGGTGTTATGCACAAACAATGAATCATGGAACACTACATCTAAAACTAATGATGTAATGTATGGGGATTAACATAACAATAAAAATTTTAAAAATAAATTTTAACACCTTGAAAAAAAAAAAAAGATATGGTGTGTTACTATCACCCCTGGAAGTTTGCTCATGCTTCTTCCCAGTTACTTTACCAACCCTAAGGCAACCACTCTTTGGATTTCTGTGACCATAGGTAAGTTTCCCATGCTACTGAACTTCATATATATGGAATTATATAGTATGTACTCTCTTTTTTTAAGTTATTTATTTATTTATTTAGAGAGAGTATGCATAGCGAGGTGGGGGGCAGAGGGAGAGAATTTTAAGCAGACTCCGCACTGACCACAGAGCCCAGTGCAGGGCTCGATCTCACTACCCTGAGACCATAACCTGAGCCAAAATCAAGAATTAAACGCTTAAGTGACTGAGCCACCCAGGTGCCCCTAGTATGTACTCTCTTATCTGGCATCTTTCACTTAAAAATGTTTTTGAGATGCATCCATGTTGTTGCATGATCAGTAGTTTGTTCCTTCTTGTTGCTGAGTCATGTTCCATTGTATGAATACACCATAATTTATTCACTCACCTTTGGTGGACATTGGTTTGATTCTGGCTTTGAACTGTTATGAATAAAACTGTTATGAACAGTCTTGTGCCGTATGTAAATTATACTTTAATCAAGAAAACAATGACAAATTCCAAAAACAAAAGAAGATCTATTTTTAGGTAACATCTTTGGTCATTTAAATGAGCAAAGAGAGAGGGCTACTGCACAAATAACAGTGAGGTGGTAGGGATGAAGTATTTAATCACTCAATGTTAGCACTATCAATGTGATCAAGAAAATGCAAATGGATTCAAACTGGATATGTATACAGACTAGAAAGCAAGTGGAGAACACACTCATTTGCCAATACTAAGCCGCCATAAATTCTGGAAACACAGTTTGAAGCTTAAAAGAAATGCACACTTGGAAATGAAGTTACTATCTCAGAAGACATTCATAGGCTTACGTGTATGAATCAGTTGCTGTGGCTGATTGTGCAATGCAAACCTCTGCTCGATTAGTGGACCTCAGCCTCAAGAAATGTGTGCTAAAATCAAGCCCTTAATAAGAAGACCCATATTTCTAGAATTTTATAGAGGAGTACATGAATCTTAAAATAAGTTTCTATGTATGTGGTCAATTTGGTGCAATGTCCCAACTGGGTCTATCTAGAACTGTAGGAAATAATCCAACATCACTGATAGCTCTTCACAATAATATGTGCTTCCTACTTACCTCCTAAAGTCTCCAATTATAGGGGCACCTGGGTGGCTCAGTCGTTGGGCGTCTGCCTTCGGCTCAGGTCATGATCCCAGGATCCTGGGATCGAGCCCCGCGTCGGGCTCCCTGCTCCGCGGGAAGCCTGCTTCTCCCTCTCCCACTCCCCCTGCTTGTGTTCCCTCTCTCGCTGTGTCTCTCTTGGTCAAGAAAATAAATAAGATCACTCTTTTTTGTGGCACCTCGGAGGCGGTAGGCTGCTTCAGGATGAAGCTGAACATCTCTTTCCCAGCTACTGGCTGCCAGAAACTCATTGAAGTGGACAATAAACACAAACTTCGTACTTTTTATGAGAAGCGTATGGCCACAGAAGTTGCTGCTGATGCTCTGGGTGAAGAATGGAAGGGTTATGTGGTCTGAATCAGTGGTGGCAATGACAAACAAGGCTTCCCCATGAAGCAGGGTGTCTTGACCCATGGTCGTGTCCGCCTGCTGCTGAGTAAGGGGCATTCCTGCTATAGACCAAGGAGGACTGGAGAGAGAAAGTGCAAATCTGTTCGGGGTTGCATTGTGGATGCCAATCCCAGTGTTCTCAACTTGGTCATTGTAAAAAAAGGGGAGAAGGATATTCCTGGACTCACTGATACTACTGTGCCTCGTCGCCTGGGGCCCAAAAGAGCCAGCAGAATCCACAAACTTTTCAATCTCTCTAAAGAAGATGATGTTCACCAGTATGCTGTGAGAAAGCCCCTAAACAAAGAAGGTAAGAAACCTAGAACCAAAGTGCCTAAGATTCAGCGTCTTGTTACTCCACGTGTCCTCCAGCACAAACGGCGGTGTATTGCTTTGAAGCAGCAGTGCACTAAGAAAAATAAGGAAGAGGCTGCAGAATATGCTAAACTTTTGGCCAAGAGAATGAAGGAGGCCAAAGAAAAACGCCAGGAACAGATTGCCAAGAGACGGAGACTGTCCTTTCTGAGAGCTTCTACCTCTAAATCTGAGTCCAGTCAAAAATGAGATTTTCTGTGACAAATAAATAAGATCAGACATCAAAAAAAAAAAAAGGATCTTTAAAAAAATAAAAATAAAGTCTCCAATTATAGAACAATCTTTTAAATAGTATTAATACCTTGATGGAAGTTGGTCAAAATTCTCAATTATACCTTTATCTGTGTACTTTTATATTTTCTATTTTTGGTGACTGATAAAAATAAGCTATATTAACATTTTAAATATTTCTCCAACTTTCTGTTTTGAAAAATTTCAAACCACAGTTGAAATAATACTAAAATATTATTACTGCCATTAAAAAAAAAGTGATCACTACAAAGTCATTTCCTTTTTTGACAAGGGTATTTGAAAGACAAAGTACATCAGGTATTATGGACTGCATCTGGGAGGAATTGGCACACTTTCTAATCCCTCAGGCTGGAGGGGGCATCATTCCCTAAATTCTAAAGAGGTACCACGTTTGTTTCCTGATGCCCTAGGACAAAGTTAAACTGGGGGTGGGAGTGGGGAGAATAGGTGGAGCCATAGTTTATAAAAGATCCTAAAGGTGCTGTGTTACTCTAAAAGGAAGCCTCCTGGGAGAACTTTAACAATGACCTGGCTACAGACCAGATTTGCAAATGACATGAAATTAGCGAGTAAAATTACTCATTAGAAATAATTAATGATCCTCCAAACATGAATAGGTTAAAAGAATTAGCCTAATTTAATAAAAATTAATACAACCACATGGAAAGTGTTGGACACAAACTTCAATGAAGTATAATAAGAAGCCTAACTCAGCACATGAATACGTTAAAAGTACCTACTTGTTAAATTTTTTTTTTTTTTTAAAGATTTTATTTATTTATTTGACAGAGAGAGAGACAGCGAGAGCAGGAGCACAAGCAGGGGGAGTGGGAGAGG